AGCTCATTCTTTTCCAGCTCTTTTTTCCTTTTCTTCTAACATTATCATGTAAGGCTATAAATTTCCTGTAAATACTGTTTCGTATTAGTTTTTATTCAGATAAAAATATTTCTAAATTATTATTTATTCTTTCACTTCTAGATTATTCCTGGGTGAGTTTCTTAGTTCCCAAATTCATGGAAGGATTTCTGGTTATATTTTATTATCATGTGGTCTGTATAATTTTAGTCCTTTGAAATTTGTTGAGATTTGCTCTATGGCTCAGTAAATGGGCAAGTTTTGCAAATTTTCTCTGTGTGCTTGCATGGGATGTGTTCTCTGCAAGTGTTGAGTGCAGTGTTCTATATATAACCATTAGGCTAATATTGTAAATGGTGTTTTTGAAATTGTCCGTATCTTTACTGATTTTTATTTGTCTATTTGTTCTGTCATTTACCATGAGAAGTGTGTCAAAATCTCCCATTAAGAGTATAGATTTAGCTAGGTATCTTTGTTGTTTTATTAATTTTTCTTTATTTATATGTGTGCATTTTTCATTATTGAAAAATTTAGAATTCTTGTATCTTTCTGGTGAATGAGAGATTTCATTCTTATAATATGAATTTTCTGTAATAATGCTCTTTGCCTTAAAGTCCATTTGTTTGATGATGATAGAGCTTTGCCAGCATTTTTTATGGTGTATAGTTCTCCAACTTTTTTATTTTCAATATTCGTGTATTTTTATGTTTGTTGAGTACACATTTTATTGAAGACTAATTGCAATATATAAAAAATGCACAAAACTATGCATATATAAGTTGATGAATTTTCTCAATAACCAGCACCATAAAACAGATCATGTTTCATGATTGTGAAATGGAACATGGCCAACACTTCAGCAACCCTGCTAAAGTCCCTTTTAAATTGCTATTTTTCTCCTTGCCACCCAGCGGTAACTGTAAACTAACTTCTAAGTGCAAAGGGTGGTTTCCAATATTTTTAAATTTTATATAAATGAAATCATACAGTACATACTCTTGTTTCTGGAATCTTTTGCACATTATGTTGATAGTGTTTATTTATGTATTTACATTTAATAGTAATATATTAATTTTCATTTCAATGTAGGAATTTGTTGTAAGTATATACCATACCCCGAAAACTCTGGTGGCACAGTGGTTAAGAGCTATGGCTGCTAACCAAAAGGTCAGCAGTTCAAATCCTCTAGGCGCTCCTTGGAAACTGTATGGGGCAGTTCTGCTCTGTTCTATAGGGTGGCTATGAGTTGGAATCGACTGGACAGCAACGGGCTTGGTTTTTTTTTTTTTTTTAATACACCATACCCACTGCTATCGGGTGGATTCAGACTCATAGCGACCCCATAGGGTTTCCAAGGCTGTAAAGCTCTACAGAAGCCAACTGCCACATCTTTCTCCTGAAGAGCCGCTGATGATTTAGAACTGCAATTAGCAGTTTGTCGCTTTAACCACCTCGTGCTCGGATCCCTGGTGGCACAGTGGAAAAGAGCTCAGCTGCTAACCAACAGGTTGGCAGTTGGAATCCACCAGCTGCTCCATGGGGGAAAGATGTGGCAGTCTGCTTCTGTAGAAATGTACAGCCTTGAAAACCCTATGGGGCAGTTCTACTCTGCCCTATATTGTTGCTAGGAGTCATAATCAGGAATGCGTTTCGTTTCGGTATATTGCATAATTTACTTATTCATTCTTCTGTTGATGGACATTTGAGCTTTTTCCACAGTTTATGGCTATAACAAATAGAGCCTCTATAAGCATTCTTATATCTGTCTTTTGTTGTACACATGAACGTAGCTCATTTGAGTTTATCTCCAGGGATGGAATTTCTGGATCATAGAGTATGCGTATGTTCAGCTTTAGTAGATACTGCCAAATAATTTTGATGTTGTACTAATTTATTTAACCAAAAGGTAGGCAGTTTGAATCCACCAACCACTCCTTGGAAACCCTATGGAGCAGTTCTACTCTGTCCTATAGGATTGCTGTGAGTCAGAATCGACTTGATGGCAACAGGTACTAGCAGTATATAACAGTTCCTGTTGCTCCATATCCTTTTAAGTAGTAATTAATGCTTGTCTTTTTCATATTAGCATCTTGGTGGATGTTTGCTGGTATTGTATGGTGGTTTTAATGTGCATTTCATTGATGAAATATGAGGTTGAGAACCTATTTATGTGTTTATTGGCCCTTTGTTTATCAGTTTTTTGTGCAGTGTGCCTGTTCTAGTCTTTTGCCCATTTTTGTATGTGTCGTTTGTCTTTTTTAATAAATATTTGCATGAGTACTTTGTATATTCTGATTAGAAGTCAGATATATGTTTTGCAAATCACTTTTTCCACTCATTGAATTGCCTTTTCATTCTCTTTGTATCTTTGATGAAGAGTCAGGGACATAGGCCCCATCCCTATGTCCTGTATCCCAATAATCCCCCTCCTCCAGGATGAGGAGAAGAGAGGGCGATCAGGCGAAAACAAAACAAGACAAAAACAAACCCACAGGCCAGAACTTACCCTGGCCTGTTGAGGTTGTGAATAGAGGCTAGGGATGCTGCTAAACCTCCTACTATGCACAAGACAGTGCCCTCCAACAAATCATTATCTGGTGCAAAATGTTAGTAGTACCAAGGTTGGGAAATCCTGACTTAAGGAAAGAGGACATGGAAGTCTCTTGCATTCAAGTTAATCTGAAAAGTTAGAAGTACATAAAGATTGAGGAAGAATTTCAAAGTATTCCTGCCTGCATAAGTTAATTCATTTGGACATTAAGTATCTACATATACCTATATTTAATACATGCTGTAAAAATAAGCTTAGATAAAGAGACAAAGAGTATTGAGAGAGTCATAAATTCTAGCTGATCAATGTGAAGTGGTGTGGCTGGGTACATGTAGAGGAGGTGGACACTTAAACTGGGCCTGGAGAAGGGTGAGGTACTACAGAGAGGGAACTGTGAATAAAAATGCTGAGTGAAATGTGTTTGACGTATACTTGTATATAGGTGAATGATAGTTCAGAGACAGGCAACACTTCTATTTGTTAATAATTGTGCACCACAACAATGGAGAGAACCACTTGCAGAAAGTGGGAAGGATGTGTTGGGAGAGGACCATGTCAACTCTATGTTTTCATTCTAAAGTAATATATGGTTTTGTTAAAAAATAATATATCCCACAAGAAGATGAAAAAAAAAATTGGCTATTTGCATGAATTGTCCATAGAGAAAGATTTAATAATTATGACTCCAGCAAAAGAATTTCAGAGAGGAAGACTTCTAGATTTGATTTAATAATATTCAAACTGAAAACTTTCTTCTGTAAAAAAATCACAAGGTTAAGAGATCAGACTTAACCAGGAACATTACTAAAAAATAGAAGACAATCATATAATATCTTTAATATGAAAAAGGTTTACACAATTCAGTAAAAAATCCTCAGTAGATAATGGGCAGATGACAAGAACATATAATTAATAAGACAATTTAAAAGTTGGTTAATATACTCCAGAACATGGTTACCCCACCAATAATCAAATAAATGAAAACTAAAGCAAAAAGATACCATTTTGGCTATTATATTAGCTATAATTAAGGGAAAAAGTGAGCATCAAATTCTGAAGAGGATGCAGACAAAAGGGAACTTTCATTTGGGCATTTTGACAACATGTATAAAGAGCCCCAAAAGTGTTTTACTTAGACATTCTCCTTCTGAAAATATTAAAGTCAACAGACTATAAAATATGAAATACAAAAATGGTTTCTTCTCAGAAACTTTCACTGCATTGTTATTTGTAACAGTAAAGGCTTAGAAATACCCTAATCACCAATGATAGTGAAATGGTTGTACAAATCATGGACCTTAATTATGAAGTAATCTTAAAGAGCCAAACATTTATGAAAAATTAATAATGAGACAACTCATGTTGTAAAACTCAATAAAAAGGTATATATAATTGTACCTACAGTATTTTCTCAACAAAGTAAAAGACAAAAGCAATTAGAAAAATACAGAAGGGAAATGATGTAAAATATTAACAGTGGGGCCTTTAAATGGAATTATGGTGAGTGTTATTTCCTCTTTTCCTACTTATTTATGTTTTTCAAATGTACTGTAAGGAGCATGTATTGTTTTTCAGTAAAGGCAAACAAAACAAACCAGAGTTTAAAAACTAAAGAACCAAGGACTTGGTCATTATAACTAATAAACACTCACTGCTAGAGTCTTAGGTCTCATCCTAGTTGTGTGATGTGGGATCAGTCCCCTGATCTACCTAGATCTTGTTTCCTCCTCTGGAATTATTCTTACTGTCTAATCCCAGTAAATAGTATATCTTATTGATTCAGTCTTCTCCGTGTGGAGGTCAGTTTCTATGAGGAGCTCTTCCAAGGTTGGGCTTGGAAATGGTCTCTGAAACTTGGAGCACCTGACACTTCCTAGATCGTTTCAGCATTTCCTGTGGTTGGGTGGGTTAGTTATAGACCTAGATGATAACTAGAGTTCTTCCTAGAACCCAAGCATTATTTGAGGTCATTAATTTGGTAGTTTTCTACTCTCCGGTTTGAATTTTCTTGGATACTTTGTTGTTGTTAGCTGCCATGGAGTTGACCCTGACTCATAGCAATACCACATACAGTGGGATCAGACTGTTGGATGCATAGAATTTTCATTGGCTGATTATTTACAAATAGTTTGCCAGGGCTTTCTTTATAGCCTGTCTTAGTCTGGAATCTCCACTGAGACCTGTTTAGCGTCTTAGAAACATGCAAGCCTCCACTGACAGATGAGTGGTGGCTCTTCTTGAGGTGCATTAACCAGGAATAGAACCTGGGTCTCCCACATGGAAAGTGAGAATTCTACCGCTGAGTCACCACTACCCCCACTTGGATACTTACATCCACTAAATCAAGTAGAGATTTATTGCCCTTTTCAAATTACAGTGGAGAAGCCCAGGGAGGAAGGCATTTTGAGGTACTGCTCTGGGGAAGGATGCTTTACAGGCCAGAGCATTTTCCCCAGTCAAGGAGTCTCCACACAGCTCCCTTCATTTCCCTGTTCCTCAGGCTGTAGATAAAGGTGTTCAGCATGGGGGTGACCATCGTGTATATCACAGATACAACCTTTCCAGTATCTGCTGAGTAGGAGGATGAGGGCTGGAAATACACAAGGAAGAGGGTCCCATAGAAGAGCATGAGCACTGAGAAGTTAGAGCCACAGGTAGAGAAGACTTTGTGCTTTCTCCTAGAAGAAGGGATCCTGATGATGGTATGGATGATATGGACATAAGAGACCAGGACACAGGTGAGAGGAATCAGGCCTGAGAGAACTGCTTCAGTTAACATCATGATCTGATAGATATGGGTGTCTGAGCAGACAAGCTTTAGAAGTGGGGGTACATCACAGAAAAAGTGTGGGATGGAATGGGAGGCACAGAAGGAGAATTAAGACATCAGCAGAGTAAGTGAGAAGGCCGGGAGGTGGGAACAAAGCCAGGATGTGGCCACCAGCAGCAGGCAACGTTGCGGACGCATGATCATGGTGTAGTGGAGAGGAAGACAGATGGCCATGTAGCGGTCATATGCCATCACAGCCAGCAGGAAGTCATCTAGCAGGGTCAATGCAATGAAGAAGTACATCTGCACGCAGCAACCAGTGTAGGAGATGGTGTAATGCTGTGTCTGGATATTTACTAGCACCTTTGGGACAATGGTGCAGGTGAAGCAGGTCTCAATGAAGGACAGGTTGGCCAGAAAGAAGTACATAGGTGTATGCAGATGTGTGTCAGAGCCGATGGCCAGGATGATGAGCAGGTTCCCAAACACAGTGACAAGGTACATGCCCAGAAAGAGCCTGAACAGGAGAGCCTGCTGCTCTGGGTGCTCAGAGAAGCCGAGAAGGAGGAAGTCAGAGATTGTGGTCAGGTTTCTAATTCCCATTTAAAATAGGACAATCAAAGGAAAATGTTTAAATATAGAGACTCCAGAAAGTTATATTATTCAAAGCCTTAGGTTTGTTTTTTCTCTCCTCTTTTCAAAGGTCATGGTCTCTCTTGGTGACAGGGATGTAAACGTGTAGCAGTGAGAACCCTAGATGATGATGAGAGACATTGATGGAGTGAACTTTGCAATCTAGTTGTCTAATAAGTTGTCCTGTAGACCTCCTGGATGAGGTTGAAATGGAGAACAACTGGATAGAACCTGTCTAAGTCTTAGTTAACTTTTCTTTTTGAAATAGGAAAACTATTCCATAGGCTTGGGAAGTTTGAATAAGATAACCTTGGGGATATTCACTTACTAGAAAACTATAGGTAAGCGTAGTTATGTGTGTGTGTGTGTGTGTGTGTGTTTGTGTATAGTGGGGAGAGAATGGGGTATCAGTTTACACAGATTGGTCATAGCTGAAACCAGGCATTCTTGGTTTGATGGGCATATCTGCCTTCTTTTTTTTTTTTGGAAGACCCATCAAATAAGTTAATGTGAATAAAAGAGCTTTGTAAACCCAATAACATTTTTCACATAAAAGAGTTTGTTGTCATCATCATAATCAACATCATTATCTATATCATCAGTCATTAGGAGTGTTAGCTTTGATCTCTTATAGACTAGATGGGCATCCTTTATCTGTTCTTACTGGCTGTGTGAGTCTCTGCAACTTGCACATCCTCCTATCCTCTCTGAGCTTCAGTTTTTTAGTCTGTAAACTATGTTCATACTTTATGTAGTTATTGTAAATAATCAGTCAGATGATATATTCAATGTGCTAGCACAGAGTAGGTCTTCAATAAATTGTGACAGTAGTTATTGCTACTGTTAGTAGTAGGAGTAGTAGATAAAATGGAACTCAGGATGCTTGATGATTGGAAAGTGTTAGACAACATGCCTCCCAGCTCCAAAACTCATTTGCCTTTTGTATTTTGGGGAAATTATTTACTTCCTTTGAGCTTCTTTCCATCATCTCTAAAACATAGACATAAACCTACTACATAGGACTGTTGAAAGCATCAAAATGCCGGAATCAGTTCAAGGTTTTTTTCAGGCCCTATGATATAAAATCCAAATTGAGAGATTCTGACTTGTGCATTTGTATGTGTGGAAGGATGGACACATGGACAGGCAATGGCAGCATATGCAGATGTCATGCTATTTGATGTGTTGATAAAACACATTTACTCTAGGGTTTGACAAACCTCCATTTGACTACCAGTGCCCTTACAGGCTATGACCTTGAATAAGTGGCTCAATCTTTCTGGGCCTCAGTTTCTGCATCTGCTAGAAGGGGATAATGTTGTTGTGCCCTCGAGTTGATTCTGACTTACAGCGAGCCTATAGGACAGGGTAGAAATGCCCATAGGGTTTCCTAGGCTATAATCTTTAGGGTAGCAGATCGCCAGGTCTTTTATCCTGTGGAGCTGCTGGTGGTTTCAAACTGCCTACCTTTTTGGTTAGCAGCTGAGCACTTAACTACTGTGCCACCAGGGCTCCTTGAAGGGGATAATAATAATGCCCAATTCATAGGATTAGTTATGAGGATTAAATTAGATAAAGATTGTACAGAACTTAACACAATGACTAACTCATATAAAATGCTAATCAAATATTAGCTATTCTTGATATTATTGTTTTTCTTGTTGAAGTTAACAAAATTAGAGTGCTTTCTAGGGTGACTAACTGAAAGTCCCACTTCCCAGGAACCCCCTCATTCCTGGGCAAACTAGAATGGCTGGCCATCATGTATGTCACTTTGTTCTGGTCATTTGTCTGTGGGAAGTTGGGCTTAAAACTATAAAGTTTCATATATAGAGTCATAATTATCATTGTCGTCAATATCATTATTATCATGACCCTTGTGTGGTAATGATTCTGACTCAGTAGTACCATGACAAAGTGTCTACTTTGGCATGTACAGGCCCAGGTTTGAGTCCCAGCTGTCCCTTCTTGGTCAAATTGTTTAACTTCTGAAAGTCCTAATTGTAAAATGAAGCTAAATAAATGTACCTCAAATAATTCTGAGACTTAAGAAAAATAAAACAGAACATAGTTAACTATCAGTTGCTTTGGAGACTGTTAGTGTCTTTGAATAGTGGCGTAGAATGATTCTGAAGGGCACTTATGATCGAGTGGGCTGCAAATAAATTTTCCATGCATACTACTGGGGTCCTAGGTCCTGTTATTACACAGTTAAACTGTCTTGGCTACTGTCAGGGAATTGGGGAAGGCTGATTTGCACTGACTTCTGGCTAGACTCCCAGGAAGTTCATGAATATTAAGTCAAGGCCCTTCTCATGGTGATCAGGAGAGCCAGGATGGATTTGGCAGAGTGTGAGGAAGAGGAAGAAGAGGAGGAAGGAATAGGAAAGAAAAGTTCTGTGTGTGTGTGTGTGTGTGTCCCATCTCTACCCCCTTAGCCCTTACCTGGAAAATCTGACCATCCTTAGATCACCATCACCAAGGAGACTGGGTCTGCCTCCACTGCTTGGTCTGCCTCCGCTAGTTCTCTTCAAGAGGACTGGCTGGAGCCACAGAGTTCTTCCTTCCTTGCAGCAGCCGCAGCACAGACTGATGACTCAGGACTAGAGCAACATGTTCTTAGGAACAGGAGCCAGGAAGAGTTGTGGGCTTTTCACATAGAGTGTCTCTGGATCCAATTCCAGACCTAGTTAGAGATTAGATGGGGCAAATGTCCAACCTCCCAGCTCTCCGCTCTGGTCCCTGGACTCCTGAGACCCAGCAGCTTCAGTAGTGCCTTTGTTTCAGAGTGGCCAGGTCTGGGAACCCCTCTCCAGGGTAAGGGAGTAGGAGGTTCTATCTTATCCACCATAACCTGCCATGGAGTCCACATATTCTAATCATATCCCAATCTTCCTGAAGAAAAGCCATCATTTTCCAACAAGTAAATAATAATAAACAAATAGAGCAGATTTGGTGCAGAGTGCTCAACACAATTATTGCCTTCAAATTCCTACAGTTCTGTCATGGAGAAAGTGAATAGACTTATTCCCTGTGACTCCAGAGGGTAGAGATATGAATTATATGTAAAATCTATAGAAGTCACAGTGACTTCTGCACAAAAGATTATATATTTTTAATTTTTTAAATTGTGAAATACATAGTACACAATACAGGAGAAACTAGCACAACTTGTACAAGGAAAGGTCATGGAAGCCCCATAGACACATCCAAACTCCCTGAGGGACTGAATTGCTGGGCAGAGGGCTGTGGGGACCATGGTCTCAGGGAACATAGCTCAATTTGCATGACACAGCTTATAAAGACAATGCTCTACATTCTACCTTGGTGAGTAGTGTCTGGGGTCTTAAAAGCCTGTGAGCGGCCATCTAAGATACTCCACTGGTCTCATCCCTTCAGGAGCAAGGGAGAATGAAGAGAACAGGATACAAGGAAAAGATTAGTCCAAAAGACTAATTGTCCACAGCTACCAAGGCCTCCACCGGACTGAGTCCAGTAGAGCTAGATGGTGTCCGGCTACCACCACTGACTGCTCTGACCAGGATCACAACAGAGGGTTCTGGACAGAGCTGGAGAAGGATGTAGAGCACAATTCTAACCCACCAAAAAAAGACCAGATTTACTGGCCTAAAGGAGACTGGAGAAACCCTGAGAGTATGGCCCCCAGACACCCTTTTAGCTCAGTGGTGAAGTTACCTCCAAGGTTCACTGTTCAGCCTAGAAGTGGACAGCCCCGTAAAACCAAATGAGACTAACGAGGTACAGGAGTCCAGTGACAAGGGCCAGAAGGCAGAAGGGGACAAGGAAGCTGGTGATAGGAAACCAAGGTTGAGTAAGGATATTGTTGATGTGTTGTGAGATTGTTAACCATTGTCATAGGGCAACATTTGTAGTAACTGTTAAATGAGAAACTGTTTTGTTCTGTAAGCCTTCATCTTAAGTGAGAATAACAGCACAATTCGAAGAGCATAGTCAATGTCACTGAACTGTGCATGTAGAAATTTTTGAAATGGTGTATCTTTAGCTATGTGTATTTTCACCAAAAACAAAAAAAGTTTGAGAAGTTAGAGGGTTGATATGTTGTGGGGTTGTTAACCAATGTCATAAAACAACATGTGTACTTCTGTTTCATGAGAAACTATTTGTTCTGAAAGCCTTCACCTGAAGTACAATAAAAAAAATAAATAAATAAATAAAATATATGAAACATTGAAGAATAATTTTTTTATAGTTTTATCAGCCATGCATGTATGCATAAATCATGTATTATTTATATTTGCCTATTTTTGTTACTTACATGAATGGAATCATTCTGCTTCTTTCAATGTTATGATTTTGGCACTTATTCATGTTGATAATTGTACTTACAGGTCATTCTTTTTCACCACTTTATAATAAAGGTAAGGAGACTTGGTAGTGCAATGGTTAAGTGCTAGGCTGCTAACTGAAAGGTCAACGGTTCGAATCCACCAGTACCTCCACAGGAGAAAAGACCTGGCGATCTGCTCCCGTAAAGATTACAGCCTAGGAAATCCTATGGGGGGGGCAGGTCTACTCTGACCTATAGGGTTGCTATGAGTGGGAATCGACTCGATGGCACACAGCAGCAAGATAGTAAAGGTCCATACTCCCCTGTCCATTACCTTTAGGGTTTTTCATTTGGGAATTCAGAATGTTTCCAATTTTAGAAAGGCATACTGTGCATGTATTATCTATTATGTGTAAGAGGGCCCACCGGAAGCGTCTGACTACTCTTGCTGTCTTGGCCCCACCTCTATTATCTACTATGTGAATACCACTAGGGGTTCTGGGGCTTCACACTATAATCAAACACAGTAATATTTTGGCCAAGTAAATGCATAAATACCAAGTGAGATAAATATTTTTAAATAGCCACATGTCGATCCAGGTCATATATTGCCATAAAATGA